ATAGTGGTGGCAGAAGTGGATGTGGCAGAAGAAGGTGGAATCCCGGGCATGGGGATGCCTCCAGACCCTACTCTGGATAAGCCTTCAGTCGTGCACAGCTACACCACTGCCTATAGCTCAGGTGGCCCACTGCTGCCAGTGCCAGCTGCTCTGGATCCTGGCCTGCTGCCTGTTGGGGCACTAACACTGCAGCTGCAGCCACCTCCCCAGGTTTGGCTGCTGGGGGTAGCGATCCAGTGAGTAATGGTTTACGTGCCCACAGAAAGGGCTCTGCATGCCAGCTGTGGCATGTTTGCCATAGGTTCACCATCACTGTCCTAAACCATTTAAAGCCTTATAGGTTAACATCATCACCTTGAGCTGGCAAGAAAGTGAGCAGGTAGCTGGTGCAGGTTAGCCGGGGGTAGGGGTTATATTGGTGTCTCCTTACTCCACTCAATTTATGCTAATATGCTGCATTCAATTTATATATATATATCTCACTTCTTGCTTCCAGGAGGAAGTTTTCTAACATTTTAATGGATCAGAAATGTTGTGTCTCAGCTAGATAATATGCATATCCCACCAGTATATTCTAATACTCTATTGGAGTGCCACTGATAAATACAATAAGTGCATACCTAACCTTCTGGGCACTCAAAGTTTTCAGTGTTATGCTGGTGGATATTTAAAATAAAAAGTTGATATACTGGGCTTGTTTTGAACTCCATATTTCTTTTTCTGTTTGCTTTTTATACATTTTCTTTTCAAATGAGGTGATTTAAAATACAAACAAACAAAGAAACAAACAAACATACAAACCCATGGCTCATCATTCACTGTGAAATGTCTTCTACAGTTATTATCTCCCTCATCTATCTGTGTGATCAGAAATGAGCATGCAGGAGATAGATTTGCCAATGTGTTTTGGATGAACAATATGTGAAAAATGTGTGTTGGATTTTTGTGTGTGTGTGTGTTTTTTGCAACAAAGACTAATAGAGGGGAGAAATTGAAATGAACCATTAAAATATTCCATTTCAAGTTGCAAAGATATCTGTTCATGAAATATCTTTTCTTGAAGGTTAGTCCTCTTTTGATCATTGATTCTGTTTCTAAAAATTAGGGATTTCACACAAATTGCATCCCTTCAATGTGGAGAGATGAGCATGGAGGGAAGGAGCTGGAACTGTGGGACAAATTAACTAGAAAAAAACAAGAAGAAATGCCTGGATGGAGACAAATAATCAGAGATGGAATGGCAGTGCACCCTTTAATGATCACACATCACATAAGAAGTATTTATTTGGTGTAGGATCTGATCTCTTGGCTGGTACACACAATTGTATTTTAAAAGAGCAACGACTTTTTTTTAAATTACAGTTTTATCTGCCTTTCTTCCAAATACTGTAAGAATTTGTTCATAGGATCTTGTACGATATTGTTCATAGGATATTTGGGAGACCTGGTCCAAAAGGTGGAACTGAAGATCAGCAAGAGCCAAAGCAAGGGTGGAAGGAAACTGAAAAGGTTTGGACAGCCACCTGTCACATATGGATCAGTCAGTGATTGAGGTATCTGGCTGCAGAGCCAGAGATTGGGAATTCAATTCCTCCTTGTGCCTCCCTAATAGGGGTGGACTTCATGATCTATAGGGTCCCTTCCAGCTCTGCAAGTCTACAACAATGATCACAAAACTTTGACATAGATTCCTATATTGAGCTGTGAATTGGACACGATGGCCTTATACGTCCCCTTCCAACTCCATTATTCTATGATATTGTGCATCAGAAAAAGAAGACTATTGTGAGTGTTGGTTCAAGGAAAGATTTTTCTCCTAGTCCTGATAATCAGTTAGACTACAAGATGGATGCTGTGACTTATCCTCCTAAGTAGATCTTTCCTCCTGAGAATGGCTGTGATTCAGTAAGTACCGGTCAGGGTAGCACTTGAGTGCTGATGCTGAACCACTGGTTGGGCCAGACTTCATCATAACTCCTGGGAACAGCGAAAAGGAAAAGATGAACCTGGATTTATAATGTAGTGTGAGGATTAGCCTGAGTTCCCAGACAAGAAGGGATGTTTGGTGAATTTTTCAAGCGAGTTCCATCTGTTAATCTCCGAACTTCTTATTTGGGTGAAGTTCTTGAGGTTCCACATGATGATTTCTCCTGATAGAAACTTTGAGGTTTCCCATTTAGTGTGAAAATGTTTCATCTCACAGCTACAGTTGGATGCTATTGTCCGGGTTTGGTAGGAGAGGCACCAGGACCTAGCCTAGGGCAAGACTATAGGAACAAGGTAGAGCCAACCCCACAGTCCAAACAGAGACCAACCAGCTGGGGATTTGAGTCCATACAGTAGCCACGTAGAAGGATGATGCAAATCATGGTCAGCGATCAGTCCAGGGTTCAAAGCCAGGAGGAACCATATCAAGGCAGGGTCTAGGGATGCAGGAGAAGCAAGGCAGGAGTATCAGCACAACCAAGGACCTTTGTTGCTGAGGCAAAAATCTGCAGGGAAAGCCTGTTCTTCTATAGCTCAGTCCTCAGATTCCACAGGTGGCACTCCTGAGGAGCTGGCAACAGCTGCAAGGAAAGGCCAGATTCCACAGGTGGCACTCCTGAGGAGCAGGGCAACAGCTGCAAGGAAAGGCCCCTTGTCCTGCAATCCTTAGAGCAGTTCTCCCCTGAGAGATGGGGCCAATCCTGCCTGCACTAAGTTTGTTGGGTTCCAGCAAGACCCCAGTCCTGACAGCTATAATCTCTGCACTACTGTCACATTCAATCCAACTACAACAGAGTGGGCCACTTCCAGAGTTCCAGGGCTTTAACACACACACACACACACACACACACACACACACACACACACACACACACACACACACAGAGAGAGAGAGAGAGAGAGAGAGAGAGAGAGAGAGAGAGAAAGACTTTGGAAAGCCACCCCTGGCAACCCAGTTATTGACTTACAAAGGACTCTTGTGCCTACTAGGAAATGTACAGGGGCCAATTTACCATATTCCCTCAACACACACACACACACACACACACACACACACACACACACACACACACACACACACACAGAGAGAGAGAGAGAGAGAGAGAGAGAGAGAGAGAGAGAGAAAGACTTTGGAAAGCCACCCCTGGCAACCCAGTTATTGACTTACAAAGGACTCTTGTGCCTACTAGGAAATGTACAGGGGCCAATTTACCATATTCCCTCCATTGCTTCTCTTAGTCTCATGGGGACTTGATTGATTGATTGATTGATTGATTGATTGATTGATTGATTGATTGATTGATTGATTGATTGATTGATTGATTGAAAGTAGGAATATCATTCTTCCTTAAACTAGCAGATGCAGAATGAGTTATACCTGAGATGCACATTCTTCATTGTGGTCTCTGTGAAATCACACTTTGGGTTATATTCTGAACCTGCACAGTCATCTCAAAACCTGTGAGAGTCCTTGGACTCACCATCGTGCTACCACGCATGCTCCCCACCTTTGGAGCCCACTCCTCAGTTTCTTTTCTCCCACCAAAAACCAAATATCTCCTGGCATTTCAGAGCCATAGCTGTGCTTCCTGTCTCTTTGCTAGCTGTTTGTTCTTTGTCAAAGTTTGTATTTTGTTGTCTTCTTCATCTCCCTCTTCTTCATTCTGGAAAAAAAAATCTGTTTAATTTTTCTCAAGATATATTGTTATCATTCTTCCTGCCTAATTTGTTTATGGCCTTTTCAGGCCCTTTCAAAAGGTGAATGGATTGTAAGAATAAAATTTCTCTGTCCAGCGGTCATACTAAGTGTTTATATTGTTTGCGGGAAACGAACAGAAACCAGCAGAAACAGAAGGAGCTATGCATATGCAAATTACCTCTCTTTTTACAGATGAACGGAACCGACTGAAACACAACTTAGTAAATATTGATTGGACTTTTTCTTTAGGGCAAATATTTGTGGAGCTAACAATAATGGGGGAAGGTAAGAGTAAGAAAAGGGACCTTCAAAGCAGGGGTTGGGAACATCTGGCTTAATTTTTTTGTTTGACTGTTGTTTGGGGGTTGGGAACATCTGGCTTAATTTTTTTTGTTTGACTGTTGTTTAGTGAAATGAAATGGTCCAGATGCATCACAAAGTTCTCTGATGCAATCCAATTTTAAGTGAACAGGAACTGAATACAAGCACATAAATACATATCAGCAGTTTTATGAGATTTATTTATTGCTTGCCAAGAGCCAATATAAGGGCCCCATGAATTTGTTGTTGTCTAGTCGTCAAGTCGTGTCTGACTCTTTGTGACCCCATGGACCAAAGCACGGTAGGCCCTCCTGTCTTCCACTGCCTCCAGGAATTGGGTCAAATTCATGTTGGTAGCTTTGGTCCAACCATTTTATCCCTTCTCCTCTTGCCCTCACAGGTTGTTTGACTACAAGACCCATAATTTGTAGCCAGCTATCCAGTGGTAAGGGATTATGAAAGTTGTAGTCTTGCAACATCTAGATGGCCATAAGTTCCCCATTCACTTTGCAGAGCAGCTGTCTTTCCATATGCTGGTTCAGAACTTGCACAATACAGCTCAAGTTTGGCCCTCTTGGAAATTGCTCATACAGCTCTTACTCTGAGCTGCAAAGCTCTTCCCATGATGTGGACATGTGTTGATAGCAGAAGGCTAGTTATCACTAGGATTTGTATCTAATCCCCCTTCTAAACTGTTAAGTACCTTCATCTATATCCCTCTTCTGCCATCCAAATCACAACTTGGTTTTTGGAACACATGCCCATCTATTTTCTAACCTTTTCCTGTATCCGTGTGGGCAAGAATCTTGCATTTTTAATGAATTAAGTGCCAGCAATTCCCACAATGGGTTCTTTTGCTTCAGATACTGGAAGTTGAAGATATACTGATTACACGTTGTCTTCTACTTAACATTATGGTAGTTTCTTTTACAAAGAGGGTCAGAAATACTGTGTCCAACCATGCTGCTTTATTTGTGCTTAACTGTTTTGTTAGGATGATTACTGTCTTCCGCCTGAACAATCTGACTCAGTTTTCTGTTCAGCCTTCAGAATGGAAAGGAGGAGTTCAGCACCAGGATGACATTTTATGTGCTGCATTTTTGCCTCCACAAACTCTAGCTACAGGTAGTGGGATGTTTATGGCCTAATATATCTTTCTGAGTTGGGGATTTGGGCCACCGTCATCTATATGCATGGCTAGATGCGTTACTGCTTGGGCTGGTGTAACTACTATGCTGCAGCAGAGCTGCAGTACATATAAGGGGCAGAGAACCAGGAGCTACCCATCCCCGCCCCTCTGCTGCCACCCCCTACATATAAGGGGCAGAGAACCAGGAGCTACCTAAGAAGGCAAAAAACATGGTATAGAAAAATTATGAGTCTAAACTAGAGATGTGCAAGGGACGTGGTGGCGCTGTGGGCTAACCCTTCCTCTCCCTACCTTAGCCACCCACCCTACCCCCACTGACACCACCTTACCGTAATCATCACTGCCACTGCTGAGGTCTGCATCAGGCCTCCACAGCTGTAGAAAGGGAAACTGGCTCCCCTTTACAAAGATGGTGGCTTATATTTATATGGGGACAAATAAAAACAGGGAAATATTCATCGATCCGTATTTGTTGGGACTTAAAATTTGACGAATACAGATTGATGAATATATGATGAATTGGTTATATTCATTAAAACAATCTCCACAGCTGTAGAAAGGGAAACTGGCTCCCCTTTACAAAGATGGTGGCTTATATTTATATGGGGACAAATAAAAACAGGGAAATATTCATCGATCCGTATTTGTTGGGACTTAAAATTTGACGAATACAGATTGATGAATATATGATGAATTGGTTATATTCATTAAAACAATACCAATCCGAATATATGATGAATTGGTTATATTCATTAACAAAAATACCAATCCGTTTTTATATTCGTCCCCATCTCTAGTCTAAACCTCTTCCTCCCCATCACATCTGGGTCTCTTAATTTCTAAGTTACTGACAGAGAAACCTTGGGAATTCCAGTGTTTCTTGGAAAGTTTCTACTGAAGTACAGGAAGATATGAAACTTCCTTATATTGGATCAGATAACTGATCTGTCCAGCCCAGTACTGTCAATTCTGGACTGGTAGCATCTCTCCAGGATTTTAGACAGGATTTTCTATTGTCCTCCTCAGAGATTCCTAGAGTTACCTAGTAGTTTCTCATGAAAGTAGCAATAACTGGGAATGAGATCTATTGGATTTATTGGACTACAAATTCTACCAAAGGCCACCATTTTGATTTTACTCTATCTTTCCCTTTAAAAGCCACACTCATATTACAAAGTATTGGATTTGCACACCAGTCTGTTCCTTATAGCGCACTGACTTTTAATTGTCTAATGCAGGGAGTTTGGGTGGAGAAATCATTGTTTGGAATAACAGTACAGAAAATGCCTACGTCAAGCTTGGAAGATCCCCAACATCCAACTCAGGTTAGTATGCACTGTAATGGCTCTCATATTCTGTGGTATAAGGTTCCATCTAGAAGAGTGCTGAAGAAGGTGGTCATAGTTTCCCCCCACTCTACTCCTAACAAGATGTCAATGATAAAATCTTGACATTTCTACATGTAAAACATATGCTCTACCAATGAAGTATAACACACCTTGAAGGACACAGTTGGAATTCAGCCTTCATCAGTGCAAGATAGATGGTGGACTTTGACTAATAAAACTTCCATCTTGTTGGTCAATGCAAGGAGTACCCAAGACTAGCAGAAAGTAGATTACAGTGGTGCCTTGACATACGAACGCCTTGACCTACAAACATTTTGACTTAAGAACAGCTCCATTTGCAAAAATTTGCTTTGACTTGCAAATGGAGCTTTGACCTATGAACAAACAAAAAAGGCAGGGGAAAAGGGTGGGAAATTCAAATGGCCTCCCGGCCGGGCTCTGACTTCCAACGCTAGAGCTGTCCCTACTGCTGGCTTCCTGGCTGTGCTGGGCTCTGCCTCCCAGAGCCCGGCCGGGAAGCAAGCAGCGAGGACCGACCCAGTGCTGGGAGCCAGAGCCTGGCCGGGAGGCAATTTGAATTTCCCACCATCGGCCTGTGGAGGGCAGTGAGGAGCACTGAGGACCGATGCAGCCGTCCTGGTGACCAGCCTGTGGTGTCGGTTCCAGAGGCCTCCCGACAGCAGCGGTAGAAATGTGGGAGGCTGAGGAGGCTTCAGACTGGTAAGGTGCTGCTTTTTCCTTTTAAAAAAATTGTTCTGGGTCGGTTTTGGAGGATGGGTATGGACTGGGGGGTTATGTTTCTGTGCTGTGTTGTTTTGTTGTTGGATTTTTTATTTTTATTTTTTGCAGTCCCTGCGTGGGACTTGCTCTGTTTATTTGTTTTTTTGGGGGGGGGGTTTAAATACTGGAATGGATAAATCCCATTCCCATGCATTTCAATAGGAAATGCTGATTTGATTTACGAACACCATTCCATTACGGATTAAGTTCGTAAGTCAAGGCACCACTGCTTCTGAGATGTGAAATCTCTGCCCACTTTTAATAAGCATGACATCTCATTCACTACCCACCCTTTCAAATGTTCCTATACCAATAGTTATATTTGAAATTTGAACTATCATGATGACAGATAAGCAATAACATTTGCAAATTCAGAAGAAAATTGGGAAAAGAAAATGTTAGCTTTTCATTTTGGGACAGTGATGGATTTCTTGGAAGTATTTTAAAGGAAGGTCACACTGGTGCCATCAACATACAATGAACTCTACATTCTGGCACAACTCAGGAAGAAAGGGAAAAGGAATATAATGTGCACTAATGTGCTTCATTGGATGGCACAACTAAGAGAGCATTAGAAATAAGCGGTTTCTTCCCCTTTTTGCAACTGAAATGCTACATTATAATACTGACCATTTTTTTTCCAACTATGTATGTATGATATGGCCTCAAAGTATATGTATGATATGGCCTCAAGATATAAGCATATCCTGTTGGTTAAGAATCATTGCAGAAGATAAAATTGGGGAGCTGTCCATGGGGGCCCTGGTGCTGAATCTTAGTAATATTTTTTGCAAGACTTCAAAACGGAGTATCATAGTATAGAGGTGGATGGGGAGAGGTGGAGACTGAACCAAGCAGTTTCAGGGCTGACAGCTCCTTCTGTTTCAGACTGAGATAAGGGCTCTATAGTGGAGAATACAAACCACCCATAACCCAGCAATCACTAGGCATAACGGAAGAGCAACCACACATGGATTTTATCATTTGTAGTGCCAGTGACTATGAGTTCTACGATGTGGATATTTTTACCGTGTATGCTTGGGCTGAAGTCACAGAAAACAGAGTGGCGACAACATCAATGTCCTTTGCCTATTGGACAGATGCTCTAGAACAGTGGCTCCCGAATTTGTTTCTACAGATCTTTTGGACTTCCAGTCCCAGAAGGGCCAGCCAGCTGGACCAATGATCATAGGATGTGAGATTTGACATCCAAAATGTTTAGAATATCAGATGTTGACAGGTGTTGCTACATACACAACTCCGTGGGTTGAATGCTTACTGCTGGAGTGTTGTCACTTGTTAAGTTGGTTTTATATCACCTTCACAGTGCCCTGCTTCACTCATCTTCAGGATCAACTAGGCTAGGGGGATTTTGACCTATGAAATTATCAGTGATGAGTTCCAGCTACAGAGTCATTTATGCATCTGCCTTGTCAGAGTGACAAAAATACAATGGTGAAGTCTTATTTGAGATGCATTTGCTAATTTGCCATCAGTCCCAAGGCTGTTGCTTCTTTTTATTGTCCTGGCTCTATGTCAGCATTTCATATTATTACCTTCAGCAGGGAGCATTGTCTTAATTTTTGCCTGTTTCACTACAAGGAGATAAATAAGTGCAGGCAGCCCTCCCACCACTGAACCTTGCCGAGCCTCCCCTGGAGGCTGTTCATAACCTGAAATTTTTCATTTGGTTGAGAGTCTTCACACGCTAATGGTTACCATAGATTAAGCACCATGCCAGCAGGCAATTTGTAATTGTTCCCTACTCCATAGACTGCTGCTTCCATTATGGTGTATAGGAGGAGAGAAGAGTGTATTGTAGCAGAGTGGAAAACATCTCTTCCTCTAACATTGCAGAATGGCTTGACAAATTGTTTTTATATTTCTTCGTTAAGCTGCTTGACACTTGCGACAAGATGAAATTTAAAACTGTATATCTATTAATCTCTTAACATTCTGCTCTTTAGCCTGCTTATACAACACTAGGCAGCAAGATAAGAAAAGAAACTGTTGATCTTTTGCTTCTCCTTAGCTGCAGGAAGTCTTTTTTAAAAACGGAAATTGGAGGTTGCCTAATTTTAGCTAGATAAATAATGTCTGGAGACAGAAAGAGCTCTGAAGGAAGGCTTGTGAACTACAGATGTGCACTAGAACCAAAATTCAGATTCAGAATGCATATTTAGAATGTGGAATTATAGCCCCTTGGACTTGAAATTCAGAATTTTAAAATTTTGAATCTCCAGATATGCAGAACTCTGTTACACTCAGTAATGTATACTATATAAATATTATTTTCTCCTTTTAAAAACCACAAAGAGGCAAAACATTTTTAGAGGATTTCCCAGGGAGTGTGCTAAACAAAATGAGTGCACGCCAACAGCTGGGAGGGCCAAGGGATTAGGAAATGACTGCAATCAGCATACTGATTGGACTCTGAATGCCAGCAGGTAATGCCAGTAGCACTGGGGACATAGAGGACAGGCTGTACTGGAGAGTGGGCAATTGCCCTGGGCAGCACCAGCAGGCATACTGGAGCAGTAGCTAGCCTACGATGGATGGGCACTGTGCCAACAGAATGGGGCACAGTACAGTTGAGTGAGTAAGCACAGTCTTGGGGTCGCCGTTAGAGAAATGAAAGAGGCAGGAGGAGGGAGCAGCAAACTCAAACTTAGCATACTTAGTACTGTAAGCAGAGTGTGCCATTCTCTTGTACTTAAAGGGGACATCAGGGAGGGAAGTTGACCATAGGGAGAAATTGGTTTATTTTCTATGGTTTCAGGTTCCAGGCATCAGTGGTGTGGACTGACAATGTCTCTCACTGGGCACAATAGTTAGTGAATGAGAAAGCAACCCCCCAGCCACCTTGGCCAGACCTCTACAAACAGACTCTGCCTCAGCCCAGTAGAGTAAGGTGTCAGTCTTTCAGAGCTTCTACATGTATGCCTCTAGAGCTACCTTTACTATGCTCTTCCCCTTGGATGGTCTCTCTGGAGGACAGGCCCCTGCCGTGCTTGCCAAGACAGTGTCTCAAAAAGCTTGCCCTGTTGTTTGCTGCTGGTACTGCTGTTTGGGATGCCACAAACATTGCTAGCTTCTTCCTGCTCTGTGTGACCCTTTGGTCCTAGACATACCTTCTTCTCTAGCTGTTGCTGCAAATGATGGAAAGTCGGCTGGCATTGCCCAATCCCTTGCTAATGCTTAATATCCATTGCCTACTGTTTAATTTGAGGAGGCCAAGAGGGTTACTACAATATAGTCCTCCTTCTTCTACAAGGAGGTGAAGCTGTAGTGGAGCAGGTCCTTTAGCTTGCTGGCCAAAATCACCTTCATGGAGGTGAAAAAAAATCACCACTTCATGCCTGGGAAAAAAAATCTACTTTGCCTCTATGGAATGCTCTGTCCACCTAAACTGTCCCTCATTATGCTCTCCATCGTGCAAACCAAATCCTGGAATATTGGAATACCTGGCTAAAGGATGGCTGTCTCGCCACTCCTTATCCATGCTGCACATTCAAAGCTTTGGAGATCACAGGCCCATAATGTTTCTCACATCTCTTTCTGGAGAAACAACCATACCAATAGAAGTCTCCAGTGCCAAATTGTGGAGTACTCTTTCAAGCAGGTAGAAAGTGGAGATTCATTGAGTTGCCACATCCTGAATCCCAATTTTTCATGATTCTGCTGCAACAGCTCACTGCCCCGGACATTGTACTGAAAACATCCTGCTACGTTTCTGGCCCGCTCAGTTATATTAGGTACGCATGTGTCTTCCACACCTTGCAAAGCACCCTGCTCTACTAGGTTGACAATGTGGGCTATGCACACCCTTTTCATCTTCCCAGCATGCTTTGCTGCCACCATGTTTGCCCCTTTCTGTGACAAACAGGGATGTGGTGGCCCTGCCAGTTAAACCACAGAAGCCTCTGTTCTGCAAGATCAGAAGACCAGCAGGCATAAGGTTGAATCCATGTAATGGAGTGAGCTCCTGTTGCTTGTCTCAGCTCCTGCCAACATAGAAGTTCGAAAGTATGTAAAAATGCAAGTAGATAAATAGGTACCACCTCAGTGAGAAGGTAACGGCATTCTGTGTCTAGTCACACTGGCCACGTGACCACGGAAACTGTCTTCGGACAAACTCTGGCTCTATGGCTTGGAAACGGGGATGAGCGCAATGCCCTAGAGTCAGACATGACTGGACTAAATATCAAGGGGAACCTTTACCTTTACTTTTACTGTGACAAATAGACTTTGTCTTTTTTGTAGCTAGACTCAACTGCTGCAGCATGTCCCCCAGAGCCTCTTGGATATTATGAGCTATGTGTCTTCTCTCCATCACAGCCACATACAACAGGGCCCACCTGTATTCTGCCTTTGTGTGTTGTTTATTTATTTATTTATTTTATTTTATTTGTATCCCACCCATCTGGTCTTGCGACCACTCTAGGCGGCTTCCAATACAATGTAAACAACTAATAAGAATAACACAAAAAGTATTACATAAATCTTCCAATAACAATTTACAAGACGAGAAATAAGTAAAGAATGAATAAAGAAAAAAGAAAAAGAAAAGCTCAAGTACTGACTGGAAGGAAGGCCTGAATAAACATCCATGTTTTTAATTGGTTTTTAACAATACCCAGCGTAGGGGCCGTGCGGATCTCCGGAAGGAGTTTGTTCCAAAGGCGAGGAGCCACTGCCGAGAAGGCCCAATTTCGTGTCTTTTCTTTCCAGACCTCTCTCGGCGTTAAGCTCCTCAGCCTCACCTCCTGACTCACTCAGGTGGTCCGGGTAAACCTTGGTGGGAGTAGGCATTCCGCCAAATTGTTGTATGCTTGGTGCTTCCATCTGCCATCAGTGTCCTGTCAAAGAAAGACAGGCATGTATGCATCCTGGCAGACAAACATTTGCAGGTTTTGCTTTCACCCCAGCCCCCTCCTTTGGGAAACCATTGGTAACCCCAATCAGGGGACACTGAGCTCTGTGCCACCACTACCCTTGGTGCCTGAGTGTCTTTAAGTTTCATTTCTCAAGAATTCAATCCAAGATGCCTGAGAAATAGGTTTCCTTTTTCCTTCTCCCTCTAGTAAGATGCCTGAGAAATAGGTTTCCTTTTTGCTTCTCCCTCTAGTACTCCAAATATTAGCGATTATTATTACAGATATTTGGAACTATCCAACTATGGCATTATTTGGTGGATTTTGAATATTTCCAAATCCAAATGTACATATTTATGCTGAAGCGAGAGAAACTAAAAAGGCAGCATGAAAAAAAATCTAATGAACCAAAAGGGCCAGACTGTGGTGTGGTTTGGTGTATGGAAGAGGGGGTTAGCAGCATGCGGGCTCCATCTGCTTGTGCAGCCCCAAGGGAAGACCCCACCACCAGAAAACCTTTTTACTGAAAATTAAAATAAAAGCAAAATCACAGTCCTAGGAGCCTCCTAGAAGCAGAAGTCTTTTTCAAAACGAGGTATATTTTCCACATTGTTTTTCTGAAAAATAACATATTGACAAAATTGACAGTGGACTTCTAGTCACTTCAAGTTATTATTTGTTTGTTTGTTTGTTGTCTATCCCTCATGTAAACAGTATCTTCCTTTTGATTTGTGTTCCTCTTTGCTTTAAGAATTTTAAATTCCAGTTTTAAAAGTATAAATTTGGGAAACACGTCATGCCCAGAGCTTAGAGGTAACATCATCTCAAACTATTTTGTAATGCAGAGGATAACACAACAGCAGTCCTGTTGCACATTGCGTAACAACTGGTCACATGATCTTCCCCCTCCCCAAAGGAACCAAAAAATAAACAAGGCTCTTTATGTTGTTGTTGTTGATAGGTTGGCTGTTGTTGTTCTTTCTGAGCTTCATAACTATTTATTTTAAGGAATACTTTGTTAATGGTCCTGATCCCATTTTTTACTTTGTGCACTTATACCTTACACACATATTGTTTTTAAAAATAATATATAAGGGGGAAGGCAACAGAAAGATTCTAGGGATGCTCAGAAACAATCTTGGGAGTTGTTTGTGGCCTGGCATGATTCCCTTTTCTGCCATACATGAATCAGATCTTATTTTATAAGCATCTTAGCAGCTTCAATATGCAGCAGGAGAAGCCAATTTTAGTGTTTTGACCCATGGGCCAGAACAAACGTGCATGAGCAGAGAAAGAGAGTACAGCTTGGAAGACTGAAATCCTACCACAAGTGAGTAAACATATGAAAATGCAAATTATTAAAATCTACAAATATCATTATGATAAGCTACAACAAGTTTTTTGCAAACGGATTTGTTTCAGTTTTTCTGCTGTGCAGGTGAAAGAAGTTAATATCCCAATAATCTACCTTTTTCACAAGGAGGCAAATAGGGGAGGGCATTTTGTCTTTTGCAAACTGTTTTTGCATGAAAGTAAGAATCTTCCCAGTGACTTCTTTTGGTACCATATCACAGTAAACTTCTGGCTCTTTCCAGCATGGAGGGAAGCCATGTTGTCCCTGTCTCTTACACAGCTGTTAAGAGATGAGGGTCTTTCAACCACCCATGAAAAAAAGAGAGTTGGTAGCTATAATCTAGCTAACCTGGACTGAAAGCCTTGGGCCCAGATGGGCAAATGTCAACTCCAAACAAAAAGAGAGATGGAAGGACAGGCAAATAAAATAAATCAAACAAATAAAACAATTTGTTCCCAACCTGGGTATGAAGAAGTCTGAACATTTTGATAGATTCTTATTTTGAAAAAAAATAATCAGAATACAATTTGTTCTCACCCCTAAGAGAAAGGTCCATATATTGCAAGGAAAAGGGTCCTGACTCAATTCTCAGGATCTCCAGTTCAAGTATCCAGAGCAGCAAAGCTGGAACAGATCTTATTTTGAAATGGTGGAGGGCTGTTGCTACTCCTACAGACTAAGTAGGGTAATAAAAAGGCCACTTCTGACTGCCCCACTCTATTGCCTCTCAGATGTTCTAGACTGCCACACACATTGCCCTTGACTGTTGGCTATGCTGTCCAAGGTGGATGAGAGGGGAAAAAATCCAAAGCATCTGGAGAGCATCAAACTGGGATGGGTTGGCCTGAATTAAGCCTGGCACAACAGCTGTGTGGGATGCCATGAAAAAAACATGGTTTGTTGTGTCCTTATGAACTTTACCTGTTCCTTTGTTCTCTTCTTCCAGAAGAAAGTTACAATTCTTCAATTCTTTTTTTTTAAAAAACTAACATCAAGTGTCAAATTAAGATTAACTTTAAAATTATCTTTAGCGCAACATCCAAGCATAAACTGTGATTAATCTTAAACCAAGTTGTGCAAATAAGTCATTGTTTGCAATTGACTTCTTTTAAATGGTGTAAGCCTCCCAGAGACCTTCGGGTAGTGTGGGTGGCATATAAATAAATAAATAAATAAATAAATAAATAAATAAATAAATAAATAAATAAATAAATAAACAAACAAACAAACAAACAAACAAACAAACCATGTTTAAGATTAATATAAAGTTCTCTGTGTTTTATCCAAAATGGACAAAATAGTTTCAAAACTACATCTCTACTTGCACAGAGGAAAAGAAGATGTCTTCTAACTCCATCCTTTGTGAAAGAGAGAAGCATTTTCCCTCTCAACCCCTGAACAGGACAAATAAAGTGTGAACCCTAAGCTTGTTCCATAAAACCACAGTTTACGGTGATGTTAAAACACAGCTAATGATTCATATATTGTGTGCAAAACAGCATCTATTCTGTAGGTCTCTAGAAACCCAATTTTATTATTATTACTATCATTTTTAAATACAAGCAAGTCTCTGGCTGGTATGACTTCATTTGTATTGGATGTAGGTGAGAGAGCTGGTGAAAGGAAGTTTGTTTTATTATTATTTTAAATCTGTTTATCTATTTTGCCATTGGTAAACTTCTCAGAAACAAAATCTTCTCAAACAATGGGGGCTGGTACCTATTGTGTTTGGTGGGCTAGAAGGTTCAGCAGCCAGTGGTAGGTGGAACTAGGGATGACTGTCTCTCATTGTTTCCTTCCTCCCCTTTCCCCTGCAAAGAAAGACTGTGTTGTGTCTAAACATTCAGCCTCACCACATAGTCAGGTGCTTGAGTCTGATAAGGAGACAGCCTGGAACAGGCTCCCTGTGGATAGCTTGAGCCTTGAGGAGGGCAGTGCCCCATTCCCCTAATGGACCAACCAATACCATTCTAGGGCTTGCTTTTCAGATAGTCTCATGAAAATCTTTCCAAATAGTTTCTGCAAAGTCTAAGGAAAGCTGCTTCAGGACTCTGCTTGGCATCTTGAAAAAAGGATGTTTTCCTTTCTGGACTTTAATTAGAATTTCTCTGGCAGGTTCTCAGGTGGAACGGAACATAACTCCTACTGGCAGGCTGTCTTCTAGAAGACACATGGTGTCTGCAGCTGAGTTGGCCAGCTCTGAGGCGGAGAACTGCAGTGCAATTACAAGGCTCACCTTCTTGGAAGCCAGGAATATGTCAGCAACAGGTAAAGGTTAAGCCTCTTTCAACTCACCTCTGCTTCATGTTTTTATGGCTTGGTTTTCACCCTGTCTTTTGAGGTGAGGAGATGAATGGATGGAGGCCTGCTTGGTCTCATTGTAGCAAAAGGATTAGGAACCAGACCGGTCAGTGAAGGCAAATAAGTCTTTCAAGGCTATTCTGTCTAGAAATGAGTGAGGCTTTCATTTCAACATATATCTGAGTCCAAAATTAATACAATTCCTAAGGATAGAATAAAATTGAAAATAATAACACATGAATAGCGGGGAATTGAGAACTGGCAGATTTTGCCCATCTATGGCCAAGTATTTGAATGCTGAGCTCTTGACAGTCTGGCTTTTAATCCTGGATATTCAACAATCTTTGTGGCTCCTAATTAGGACTGCTGCCTCTTTTTATATGCAAAATTAGTCATCCTTAGCAGGCTAGTACAACATGGTCCTTTTCCATGCAGGAAATAGCTGTACTTATTGAATTTAGCCAGCACAGATGGGTGAGAATATGCTTTCAGATCAGTTTCAGTAGCAATTCCCCCGATTTCAGAAACAGTCAAGGAGGAAACATCTTCCAGATATTGGAGAAGGCAAAACTTGACAGATTCTTCAATTTTTAGTGCTCTGTTAAATCATTATGGATGTTTTTGGGGATCTGCACAAATTGAGCAGAGTGTGATGGTGCCCCCTTGTCACACTGAACACAGAAGTGTAACTATTTGAACAGTTGTACCAAGGTGTCCTCTCCATAAATGAATGCTTCTCTTGAAAAAAGATGGGGAACATTTGACAACATAATGCAAATTCCAGGTCATGACAAAACAACATAACTCACAGATGACCACTCAAAGAACTACAGTTACAGGTAAGTAACCGTTCTCTTCTTTGTGGTCTCTGTGATTCACACTAATGGTGGAATAGCCAACTAATGTCCAGCTAACAACCTTGTTTTGGCAGAGCAGCTGCAGCAGTTCCTTCCTAGAAGCAGTTTCAGACTGAAGCTGAGCTTAAAATAAAAACAAACAATTACCAAGATTTATGTGGAAAATGCATGGATAGGAAAGCCTGATCTAGATAGCCGATCATGTGCGAGACTGGAGCACATGGTCCAAGCGGGTTGGGTCCGGGTCCACAGACCATTCTTAAAGAGAGATGAGGAGATTGAAAGGAAGGAGAAGACTAACAAGAGACAGGAAGTGGCAGATCTTTTCTTTACTTTGGGGCAATAGGAAAATGAACACATTGGAACACTCACCACGTCCCGAGGTAATTGGTTCCATTGCTGCAGTGCTCTCATTGTTACAAAATTTTTCCTGATGCACAATCTAGACCAGGTTCCTGTAATATGGGCCAATTGTGACATGCTCTGCACTCTGGAATGAATGAGGACAGGAAAGCTGTTGGCATATGGGGAGTTGGACTGGAGAGCAAATAACAGTGGGATTCTATTGCCCAACTCCACTCTTTTCTATTGGGAATGCAAGGTGTGTGTGAGAGAGATGAGTGCCCCTGTTATATCCAAACTCAAGTTGGAGATTGGACAGGACTTCTGTGATGTTATCTGGCCCATGAGCTTGTTTTCTGACCCACAATCTGGCTCCTCAGGCAAATATATTATCCCACCCTCACTTGGCCACACATTTTTATCCTTCTCCTTCCCCTGGTTAAGGAATATGTCTAGATGGACTACTTTGGCCCGGCACTAATTTAGCTCTCTTTTTGTTTTAATGGGGATTCTGTTGATTCTGACAATCAATTTCAGTAAGTTAAATGAACAAGCCTGCAGCAGAAACCTGCATGCATGCTGAGAGTGAAGCTCCATATTGATTTATGCCCCATGTGAGTCAGCGGAGGCACTACAGGAAAGTGAATCTGTGATGGAATTTGATCCACTTGGAAGTTCTGCAGCAGCTGCCGTGGAGAGTTATAAAATTGTTTCTCATCTGCTTTTCCAGGTGTCTTGTGAATTGTATTATTGCTGTTTTCCTCCAAGGCAATTGGGAATCTTTCTACAGATTTATCGGCAATGATTTGGGAAATCTGTTGCCTTAAGGATTATTTAGGATTCTTTGGTGTCCATAAAGTACATAAAATTGACAGCAGGAACTTGGGCCTGCCAGAGAGAGAGAGTCATTTACATAAAGATTTACAGTCTCATGTGCATGATTTGCAAATAGAAAAATAAAAGGTCTTGAAAACAGGTTCCCAAGGTCTGATTTCTTATTACTATAGCTTCTTTTGGTGCGGGTAGTCTACTGATTGGACTATATTTCACTGCTGTTGGCAAACCACAGTATTAAAATGGAGTCGAAAAGCCAAACAAACAGAATGCACATTTAATGGGGTTTTCGCACAGTGGAAAGTAGCTTCTGATCAGAGGAAGACATCTGTATTCAAAAAGCAAAACCAAGGGAACAATGCACAATGTCATTGTACCCTGCTCATCCAGGACATAGGAGAAGAGTAATTCAGATTTAAGGCTGTGATCAGAGGTGCATTCACATATGGGAGCAACTCTCACTGAATATTTCCAAGTGTTCACATTTTGAATTAGGTAGCACAGAACCTAGGAAATGAAAGTCTGTGCTTCCAGACATCTCTGGAAAACGGAACTGTGTGGAGCCATGTTTGATTTAATTTACAAATCACTTCTGACTTGAACTAATTCCCCACTTTTCTGCAAGATATAAAGAAAGCTAAGTTACTCTCATACCAAGCATCAGCTATGACCCTGCTGTATAATAGCATAATAGCATTCATGGGGGCAAAGCTAGGCCAGATGATGATCCCACATCTAGAAACAGTGGTCTCACAAGAGCAAATGACATCTGATTGCAAAAAAACACATGGAAAGCAGAAGAGTGTTGGCTCATTGGAATGTAAACACTGGCTTTCTTGGCAGGGCTGTTTGCTAAAACCCACACAGCTAAAGAGACTGCATCACTTGAGGGTTAACATCATAAAAATGAGATATATGTTTTTCTCTGAATATTTGTCTTAACCCAGAGTTGACTTGGCCATAAGATACAGTGAGGCAACCATCTCATGAGCCAAATGCTTCTCTCATGGAGCTATTTCTGCTGCATAGCTTGTCCTGCGCTCCCTAAACTAGCCTGCTGCCCTCAGGTGTTATGGAAACCCCCATGACTTCCTGAGTGTTTAAAGATCTAGGGAAATCCTTTGAAATGAAATGAAATTCTCAGGCAGAGGAGAAAATGGTGAAACACACTGGGGTAGGCAACAGCCATCCCATGGGCCTTTTGTGCCTCCACCTGTTTAAGGAGCACAGGCAGCTACCTTTGAAATGAAATGAAATTCTCAGGCAGAAGAGAAAATGGTGAAAAACACTGGGGTGGGCAACAGCCATCCCATGGACCTTTTGTGCCTCCACCTGTTTGAGGAGCACAGGTAGCTACTATGTTGAGTCTGCCAGGAGTCCATCTAACCCAGTGGTCCCCAACCTTGGGCCTCCAGATGTTCCTGGACTACAACTCCCAGAAGCCTTCACCACCACCTCTGCTGGCTAGGATTTCTGGGAGTTGAAGTCCAAGAACATCTGAAGGCCCAAAATTGGGGACCACTGATCTAACCCATTGATGTTAATTTTGGCAGGAGCTCTCCAGGGTTTCAGGACGGAATCTTTCTTAACCCAGCCAGGAGATGGCCAGGAGCTGAATGACCTTCTGTCCACAAAGTGGCTGCTCTACCACTCAGTTATGGCCCCTCAGACCTATCCAAGCTCCACTCTGAGAAATGGGTTTTGACCAAGGGAAAAAAAATTCCTTCCCTTAGAAGCTTTTAGGAGCAATTATTTTCTCAAGCATAAACACACAGCTTTGTCCTGATGAAAAACTGTTTCATGGCAGATTCTTGGGGGAGAAGTTAGTTCCTGGAGGTGCCAGAGCTGTCTCTCTTTGGACAATTTAAATATTTTTACCTCACTTTTCTCCTTAAAAGGACCCAAGTCAATTTAAAGTGACTTCACACAATAAGAATTCCAGAGATCACAGAGTGATTTTCTAATGCCTTATTTACCCCTGGAACCATGGTACCAGATTGGACTTCCTTGGAAGTAAATTTGCTAATGATCTCTTTCTCTCTCTGGTTTAGGAGGAGCAAACCTAGTATCTTGTGGAGGTGCTGGTTATGTCAGATTCTGGAGTACTCAGAGGAGCAAGTTACTGGCAGAGTTTGAAGCTCATGGTGGAGTGGGGCCCATTATTATGACAGTTGAAAAAAGAAACCAATACCTCATTACAGGAGATCAAGTTGGATGGGTGAAGATATGGAACATAGAGGTAAGAAGAAAAGACATTGACCTGGTGGTGGTGAAACAAAAAAGTTCAAAATGGTTCAGATATTACCTATCATTTACCTAATAAATAAAAGGTGGAAAAAATCAGGATTTTAAGAGTGCCTAATAATAGCAGAGATGTGTGACCATTTCACTTTCAACTGCATTTTTTTTTTAAAAAAAATCCTGATTTTGTACTTTGCACTTTTTGGTGGATTCTTACAAAATACTTTGAAATGAAATTTCAGTCTCAAATAAACTCAATAGGGGTAAATGCTCCTAGCATGAAGTGGAAAGATGTTGCTCCCAGCTGCCATACAGCTGTTAAAGATAAGGAGGCTCTTAGAAAAAAGAGGTTGTGGCCTTAATTGTGCATCCAGACCCAGCTTCATATCAACCAGAACCCCAGTGGATATTTAGGTGCAGACATGAAGAATCATGGAAGTTGCTGAGAATAATTGATAAGGGGCCAACCTGTCACATGTTGGTGGCATCACTAATCACGCACCTAATTATGAACCATACACATGTCTGGCATGCTTCCGGCATGGTTCAAATTAGCTCCAATTAGTCATGGCAATTTCTCCAGTTCCTCTTGCACAGACATCGGATAGGAACATGACTCTTGGGTTTCAAGCTCTGTCTTGGAGATACTTATTTTGGGAAACTCTGGGCCTGAATCGAAGAATCTATCAATCAGTTTCTCCTATATAAAAACTCAAGTTCTTTCCACCTGAAAGATATTTGAGCCTTTTGATAATTTTATTATTGAAAAGGAACCAGCATTAGAATTATCCATTCCTCAATGGAGGATGCATCCACTGAATTAAAAGTTTACTACTTCAGCCTACTATCTCCAATTAAAATATACAGTATGAGGTAGGAGTGATGAAACACACCTTGTTTCAAGATGGTGGAAGTCTGCTGCCAGGCAAGGTAGACAATATAATGGGCTTGGTCAAGCTTCCCCAACCTGGTGCCCGTAAGATATTTTAGATAGACATGCCATTCATCCCTGACTGTAGGCCAAGCTGGATGGGGCAAACAGCACTTTGAATCAAAACTGTATATAGATTTGTCTAGGTGCAGTTCTTCATTTATCTTAGAACCCTGTGCCCAGTGGCTATCTGCAGGCATTTGTGCTGCATGCATGAGTGCCAGAAAATGGTCTTACTTGGCATTCAGATGTTGAGAATCGGCACTGCTTGATGTAAGGGATGTGAACATCTGTTACATTTCTTCTTGTGGCATTTTTAGACTCCCTCCAGCATTCATCTGTATTTTCCCCTTCCGAAACAAGACTTTTTTTCCCCTTTAAATACCTCCAGCATTCATCTGTATTTTCCCCTTCTGAAACAGGTCTTTTACTTTTTTTCCTTTAAATATTTTTACCCCACCTTTCTCCTTGAAAGGACCCAAGGCGGCTAGTGTGTTTTAGGATGTACTTTTATGTATGCTTCCAATTAACTAAGATGTGTATTGCATTGCATTTTGCAACTGCATACATGTTTCTCTATACATCTTTTTTCAAACATATGCAAGTTGTTTGTGTCTCTCTGTATGTGTGTGTGTTTCCACGTGATGCAGCAGTTAGACTGCAGTACTGCAGCTAAGACTCTGCTGATGGCCTGAGTTAGTTCCCTCAGGTATTTTGGCTCAAGGTTAACTCAGCCTTCCCTCTTTCTGACGTTGGTGAATTGAATACCCAGCTTATGGGGAGGGTGGGCACAATGTATAGGCTGCATAATTAAATCGTAAACAGCCCAAGACATAAGTAGCATACTTTGATTTCCCCTTTTTCTTTTGCTGAAATGCAGTATGAGGATTAGAAACATGCAGTTTCCATCATTATTTTCAGCTGCTAGAAAATGGATATTTTCATGGGAGAATGAAAACAGTTCCATGCCCCCCCCGTCCCTACCTGAGTGCTACCTTATTTGAGTGCAATTGTCAGGTACAAATACAATGCATGAATAGGGCTAATAAGTGGTAATCATTATTGTGGCCTTAGATCAGTGATTTCCAGCCTTGGGGTCCCCAGATGTTCTCAGACTGCAACTCCCAGAAATCCTGGCCAACATAGCTAGTGGGGAAGGCTTCTGGGAGTTGCAGTCCAAAAACATCTGGGGACCCAAGGTTGGGAACCATTGATCTGGTGAATGAAAACTATATTGAGAACCTGTGATTTTGGGTTGGGTGGTTGGATGATGACCATGGTATGAGAGAAAGGAGGAACAAGAGGAAGTAAAACAGAGTGAGTCGTCCCCTCCGACGTCTGAGCAGGAGGCTAAAGATGAAGGAGCTAAGAGAGGAGTGATGCTAGAGGTGGTAGATGGGATGAAAGAGCTGAAGGCGGGAGAAAAAGGGAGGAGCGTGGAAAAGAGGTCCGGAGGGTGGTAGATGTATTCCTCACTTCGGAGGAAGGAGGGAGATCAGGAGAGAAAGAGAAAGTGGTGATTATTGAAGATGAATGGAATGAGGGAGAAAGTGAACCAAGAGCTTTTAAAGTACCGCGGAAAGAGATAGAGGGGGAAGCAAAAGACCGAAGTGGGAGAGAGGAGAAAGGCAAAGGTGTAAAGCCAGTAATAGAGGGATTGTATCCAGAGGAATGGACCGTCCTAGTTTATCTGAGAGGACACAGTCCAGTGAAGAACGTGACCCAATCAGGACCGTTGCTGAGAGGCGAGAAACCTCTGGAAGGGGAGTGGGCATGTCACCCCTGCTGCGGGACTATTTGTGCCATCAGGAGTGGATGTCAGAGGAAGCCCACAGATCAAGAGTGCTTCAGGAAGACTTATCATACCTACGTTATGGGACAGTTTACCAATTCATCCAACTTTTAATGATCCTGTAGAAGTTGTAGTTGAAGAAACCCCTGGTGTTGTTAATAAAGTTTTGTTCAATGAACCTCCTCTCATGTCTTTTCCTGCAAAAACTCTGGAACGGTCAAAAACGGTTAATGAACCCAATCACACATGGCCCTCCAGATGTTGTTGGACTCCATCTCCTATCAGCACCTGGAAGGCCATAGGTTTCTTAGCTGTAGTGTGGGCCATACTAGTCTTTTGAAGATTGGATGCTTTTTTAATTACAGCTTCTGGTATCCCCTAATAAGCATGACTAATTGGGGAGTTCTGGGAGTTTTTGGATACTCAGTCACTTTGAATTGGTAATGTGGGATGTGGGCATTAAACCATCCCTGGATGTTGGCCTTTTCGCTACAGATCACCTCAGTACCTCTTTTCTTCTGCTTCTACCAGGACTACTGCCTAATGTTGGCCAACGATGTGATAACGCAGCCACCTCTCCTGATAAGGTCATTTCAGGTTCACGATGACAGTATCACTAGCCTGGGGACCTGTATACAGAACGACAGCCTCTTCATCTTGTCCTCCTCGACAGACTGCAGCATTGTGCTTAGTGACATTTCCGGCGTTCCATTTGGAATATTTGGGCAGGTAGACATGCTGCAAGTTTACTGGGGTTTTTTTTTTGCTTCTTTGTTTCATATTTTTTATCTTATTTTAATAGGGTTATTTCTCCCTCTTTCTCATCAACGTGCTCATTATCAGCATTTTAGAATGAATTGTTGTCAAGGATTCCTGCAGAGATATTTCCCCGGAGGAAGACACAGAATGAGCAAACTAATATGTGGTGTGCCATGCTGTCCTCCCTCCCTTCCATTTCTCCCTTGCTGCAAATACATAATGCGACAACTCATAGGGTCCCTGGCACATCTCCCCTTCAAATACGCTGAAGGCAATATTTGAAATTGGAGAGAGGTAAAAGCTTTCCTCCAAGTGCAGATAACTCATAGAAATAATTGGATGGCTTGTAATTTGTCTAAATAAAGTGCCGAAGCTGAGAGGTCTCCACATCCTCGTTGTATGAGACAGAGGCTGAACTAACTCCTTGACTTTGTTGTTTTTAAATATGCTCATTAGCTAACCAGAGAAGTGCCAGCTTTTAGGGCATTGAACAGTGGTGTGATAGTAAACTTCGAGTGGCAAATATAATCTCTTCGGTTGTATGGACTTGTCCATGGAAATGAATATTGCAAACATGATTAACTTTGCAAAGGTTTGCATTTAAAAAAAGTCTCTCTTCTCTCTCTCTCTCTTTTGTGTGTGTGTGTGTGTGTGTGTGTGTGTGTGTGTGTGTGTGTGTGTGTGTGTGTGTGTGTGTGTGTGTGTGTGTGTGTGTGTGTGTGTAAGAGCAACAATGCAAGTATTTCCAAATTGGAGCCTATGTAGAAATCTGCTAACTGCCTTGGGTGAGGCCACTTAGCTCTTTATAGACCAGCAGCAGAAAAAAAATTAAATCCAGGTTTCATTTAGACTGTTAGGCCACTAAACTGCTTCCTGGTCTTGTCTCTGCTGACCCTTTAATGGTCTGCAGCCCAGAGGAGCCCCCTACCCCAGAGCAAGAGGGAAAGGAGGGGGAGGAGGCACCCCCTCTCAAGAGCCAAGGAGGGTGCTGTCTCCATGAAGATGCCTGCATAGCACAGTGAGTCTTTGCCTGAGGGTTGGGTTGAAGCTGCTGAAACGCCAACTGAACTGTCTCAAAAATCTCTTAAATGGGATAGGATTCATGTGCAGCCAGGAAAGAGCCACAGGAGGGCTTAATGGATATGTTGCTGGATGCCAGGATGCTGGGGAGGAATAAAGATGGGATCCAATTCTTTAAAAAAAACCCTCCAGTTATCGATGTGGGATATTGTGGTTCCATGATCCAAAACACAAGGAAATGACACTCCCCAAAGGTTCAAGTAAATCCCCAATAAGTATCATTTTGCAAAGAAATACCCACATTGCCCACCCCTAAAAGTGATTTAAAATGAAGTTTTGTCCACACCTTCCCTTTAGGTAAAGGTTCCCCTTGACATTTAGCCCAGTCGTGTCTGACTCTCCGTGACCCCATATGTGGGATATTGTGGTTCCATGATCCAAAACACAAGGAAATGACACTCCCCAAGAGTTCAAGTAAATCCCCAATAAGTATAATTTTGCAAAGAAATACCCACGTTGCTCACCCCTGAAAGTGATTTAAAATGAAGTTTTGTCCACACCTGCCTCCAGGAATTGGGTCAAATTCATGTTGGTAGCTTTGATGACACTGGGCTGGTCTTCTGACCTTGCAGCACAGAGTCTTCTGCAGTTTAACCTGCAGTGCCACCACACCCCTCACTTTTCCTTTAGGTTTTCTCAAATCTTGGATGGGTAGTGCTCCACTCTTGAACATCAAAGAACATCAGTTCTGAAGGATCATGCCTGAAACTTCTTTACCTATATAGAAGGCTGGCTGTGCTCTGCACCAGGTTGCATAGGGTAGAAGCACTCCAAATTCAGGTGAATTCCTTAGGGATTAACAATGAAATGTCTTCCAGCTGAAGAGACATATACTGGAGTGCACACAGTTAATCTGAAATATACATTTCTTCTAGGCATTTTTATTATTTTGTGGTTCCAAGCAATAGATGGCTACAGAACTTGTTGAAAAGCTGCCCTGACAATTGCTTTGTGTTTGGGTGAGAAGAAAGGAATAAGTATATTTTCCCTTGCTTGGTGTCACTTAGCGAATGACAGTGAGCACAAGAGAGTATCCTGTAGACCAGGGGTTCCCAACCTTGGGTAACTCAGGTGTTCTTGAACTGCAGTTCCCAGAAGTCTTCACCACTAGCTGTGCTAGGCAGGGTTTCTGGGAGGTGCAGTCCGAGAGTGCCTCTGTTACCCAACTGTGAACCACTACTGTAGGCCATCCTGAGTGCTGTCATAGGTGCCATCAATATTCAGGCTGTCCTTTGCTAGGGAAAAATTGGCATCATTTTTCCTGCTAGCAATGTGGGCACAATATTGTGCAGCAATATGAGGCCATTTCCTAATCTTTTGAAATGTGGATACAGAATATCCCACATACATAAACCGGAGGTTTCTTGGAGAATTGAATTTCCTGTTTTTTTAAAACAATACACTACATACAAAAGTTTCTGACAGACACTCCCCTCTTGTCGAATTATCGAGTGCTAGGGTATCCCAGAAGATAAGCACATGATCTGTAATATCGTTGCTGGGAGGGGGCAGAACCAAGGACAGCTGCAACGTAGCTGAAGTCGCTCTGTGCCAAAATATTCTGAAGGCTTGTTTTGGACTTAATGAAATTGGGAAAGAAAAAGTGTGAGTGACTGTAACACATACAATAGAGAAACACCCAGACTTTTAAACCTTTTGGTAAACAGCTGTTGCCATAACCGCTCAGCAGAACGCAGACTAGAAAGTGATCTTCCAGTTTCCAAACCTCTGCTCTACAAACATGTGGCCTGCATGTTTTCCAAAAGATGTCCCCTCACTTTTTGAAATTCAAACAAAAGGGGGTGGGAATTAGAGTTAGCAAAGACTGTCACTTGAAACCAAGATTAAAATTCATCGATACTATATAAAAGATGATAGATAGATAGATAGATAGATAGATAGATAGATAGATAGATAGATAGATAGATAGATAGATAGATAGATAGATAGAGAGAGAGAGAGAAGAATTGGAGACACATGGATCTGTTGTTTCTCAAGGGCAGTAATTAGATTATAATCAATCTCATTTTTACAAGGCTAAATTAGAACAGACCTGGCACCATCAGTATAGAAAGGGTCCCAGGAGTCCATTTTCAATATGAAAAGGGTCTCAAGCCCCTTTGGATATGAGGGGGAGGGGTTTAGAAGTGTGCTAATCCTCCACTTTTGTGTTATATGGCATGGGGGAGCCCATCACCTGATTTAAAGGTGAATTACCACTCCTGAAGTCTTCCTATGAAAAAAGAGAGGCACAGGAAAAGTCCCCCTCCCAAAAAAAACAGCCTTGGGGGGGCCACACGAGCTATGCTCTGCCTACTCCTGCTTCAAGGCATTCCGCTCTGGAAAAAAGGAGAAGCCCACGGGCTCTCTCAGGTTAGGCTTGTTTTTTTTTATCAGAATTTTGTAAAACTTGCAATTCCTTTATACATGGATTAAATAAAACTTCAGACTAAAAAAAAATATTTATGAGAGAAATGGAAACGGAAATTGCTTTACTGCAGTTCCAGTTCTGGTTGTATCTAAAACCAAATTCAACTGAGAAACTCTGGAAAAAGTATTCACAAAAATGATATGACAAGAGTACAATAATAAAGTCTGTGTGTGCATATGCACCAGCACAAGCCCTCATGCATATATTCCATAGGCCCTTGTGCACAAACCCTTTGCTGCATTTCTTACCTGTTCACTCTTGTAAATGTCACCCAGCGCGCATAAGAGCAAATCATGTCTTGCCCTTGGAGGATATGTAATGTCCCAAGGGTTTCATCATATTGATGGGAGCCAGGCTATTTTTCTGTAAAGTAGAAAACAAATGGGTCATATACAACTCAGGGAGAAAATACCACTTCTGAGGAAAAGTGAAGGATTAGAAATAAAGCCCTGAAATCCACAAAAAACAGCAGTCTTGCACCAGTTTATTGTTATTGTTTAGTCATTAAGTCGTGTCTGACTCTCCGTGACCCCACGGACCAGAGCACACCAGGCCCTCCTGTCTTCCACCGCCTCCCGGAGTTGTGTCAAATTCATGTTGGTAGCTTTGATGACACTGTCCAGCCATCTCGTCCTCTGTCATCCCCTTTGCTGCTTCACCAGAACAAGGCAGCAATCCGTGAAGTGGTTGCTGCCTTGTTGCCAGTTAGGAAAGTGCAAAAGCAGAAAATCCACTTGAAACTCCTTATAATTAACAGCAAGGGATTGCAGTATGGAGGGGAGGATATATATCCCACAATGAAAAAATGAGTAATTTGAGAAACGCAGTATGCATGTACATGTTTGTAAGTTATGGAGAACTTTAGAAAATGGTCCCTTTTCCTTAATGCTGTGCAACAATTTAAACATTGTTACAGCTTGACAATGAATCATAAAAGGAGAGCTGAGGATTGGCAGAGAGTGGGATGAAACAAAGACAGGTTGTGATGTGGATCAAACCAGTGTGGACACCATCTGAGTGATGCACAATTTGTGTCTCACACTGGAGTCTCTGTGTGATCACCCAATCTGAATAGAAGCATAAAATAGACTGTAAATCAAGCCACAGCAAAACTGAATCACTCCAATTTGGCTTGCTTGGGCAGTCGCAGCCTCGGTTTACATTTTGTTCGCCTGTGTGAGTTTAGTCTAGTGAACAGAAAATGGAACATAGAACTTCATCTTGCAGTCTGAGATGGTGCCTCTGTGATTTGTATTTTACACTTCTTCATTTTTAGGAAAGGCATTGGAGAATCGCAAATCATGTCGTTTCTTTCGCCAGAGAAGAACACAAGTTACAGACAGAGGAGGAAAATGACATTAAAAATAACAGCCTGTTGTCCTTTGTGGAAGACAATTCTTCCCCTCATCTAGTGGAACAACCGGTACCTGTTACAGAAGCTCAAGATGACTCCACAGACATGTAAATAATTTCACTAAAAGCTAATTTACAGTGACACGCTTTGAGAGAGCAGACTGTTAAGAGTGAGCTAAAGCTTCTAATTAGCAGAAGCTTCCTCTCAGAGATAATATTTGAAATAGGACCAGCCACAAAATAGATGTCTTGCTAAAAATCCAGAATCCCTGGCCACCATTTTTTTGCCTTCATCACAGTACAGAAGGTTTGAAGGGAAAGATAATGATTTTAATTATGGTGTTTATTATTTATTTATTTTAATGACACACTGTGATGAATTTGTATGGCATATTGCAGACAAAGTTCCTGGGATCTGTTCTGGCTGGGATGCTGTAGTTCAGCGGTCCCCAACCTTTTTGGGGGCTGCAGACCAGCTGAGGGGAGTGAGCTCCATTTGTGGGGGGTGGGGGTACCTGCATGGTCATGCGGTGGATGTGTCATGCTCACGCAGTGGTTGTGTTGTGCCTACAGAGGGCATGACATGCCCCCCACAGGCGCATCACCCCCCTGCACAAGCACAACATGCCCCCCGCAGGCACAACACACACCCCATGAGCGTGACACAACCACCATGGGTGCATGTGTGTGTGTGTGTGTGTGTGTAGATCCGTATCCACGGCCCAGTTCTGGCAAGCCCACGGACCGGCACCAGGCCGCGGACTGGGAGTTGATGACCCCTGCTCTAGTTGACACAGGTCATGTGGGTGTAATTTTGGCCCTGAATTGTCCCTGCATTTCCATCTGTGCAGCCTGAGGATGTGGATAGGATCCCTGGAGAGATGAAAGCCACCACATGTGCGCTGGATTCTTGCCCTTCCAAGCATATCTTTCCATTGCTGAAAGTGCTTCATGGACTATCTTATTTTATTTCAACCACACTCTAATTCTTTCTATAGCTTCCAAGTAGAGTACAGTAAGGCCAAATATATGCAGGATCAGTGTCCACATTTTCACTTATCTATGGTCTGAAAATATTAAAAACATTAAATTGAAAAACACAGAAATATGTATGCCCATGACATAATTACCACAATTGGCCACTAGAGGAAGCCAGAGACAATGTACAGGTTTTACTTTTATCCACGGGTTTCAGTATCAACAGGGGGCTTGGAACTGACACACACCCCATGGATACCATGACCCTGCTATACTTGAATGAAGCCTTTTTCCCTATTTTTCCCTTCCATCCAAGGAGCTGGGGGGAGCAAATGTCTGACATTGTTTCTGTATCTACCAGTTCCTCACAAGATCAGTATGGGTAGGTTGGACTAGATGCTTCAGGCATCATAATGTTTTGGGTCAGGCATAGGAGGCACCAAAGCACCAGTTGTAGCTTAGATTGTATACCTAAATAAGAATGTGAAATCATATTGATTGAGTCTTAGTCCAGCACTGATAACCATTATGCTACATTGGAAGGAGAATAGGAGTAGAGCTCAGACCTGCATCAACCTTATCTCCTTGTATTTCACCATCAGGGTCAACTGAGAGCAGCACCCAGGAAAAAGGCCTTCTTGGTTATAGTACCTGGATAATGGAGGTTTCTTCATAGGAAACTCACCTAACTGGATCCCCTGCTTTTAAATTTCCTGCATCACAATAGGACTTTCCTACATACATTTAGTTACACACAGAATCACATACAGAGGGATCAGGGAGTAAGGGCTATTTTGCAATGCTGCTCTTATGTCTATTTTGCTTTACTAAATCATTGTGGTTTTTTTTAACTCTTTGATTTCTACTTTAGGAAATTGAGAAGTGCACTTTGAAAAATAATAAAAAAACCAACAAATACATTGATTAGGTCATTTTAAAAAACTTCTCCCTTTCTCTGTGCTTGGTGTACAGCAGCCCAGTACAAAAAATACAGCAAGCAAAACTGACTCCCTATGCTAAGAAGAGCTTCACCTACATACTCTAGGGTGTGAAAAATTAGAAAAGCAGGAGTTGTAATTAAAAGTGGGGATACTGCAAATATTCTATAACTAAATATTCTATAACTGCATACTGCTTTTGGCTGTAGAAATACAGCTTTGTCACTTCTGCATATTATAACAGCATTATATAAAAATGCAGTTAATGAAAAGTTGGTCTAATTTTGCACTTGTAATGCCTGGAGAGGTTAGAGGTCCAAAGCTCTTTGATTCCAAGTGAGCTCATTTATTGCAAAATATATAAATCTTTCATGGCTCTTTGTAATCTACACTATGCCCAGGCATAAGAACAGTAAAATTAAACCCCGGCTAAGTGCTTCCTCAGTTTTAAATAACTTCCTTGATGTAACATAATGAAGCCTTTGTATTATTAAACATTTTAATAACCTTGAGCAAAAGAATGTAACCTTCATGTGCAGACATAGTGCCCAAGGGAATAATTTTTGCGACCCTGTTCACTACAACTCTGATGCCATCAGCAGGAAAAGATGCTGATGGAAACTGCAATGCAGGGGCCATAGAAAGAGCCCACGCCGTGGCTTCTGCAACTGGTGTTTTAGTGCTTACTGTGGCTGACCCCAAGCATCATGTTGCCTGAGGCAAAGGAAATCATGGTGACTCACACTCCCTCTTGTGCATAAATGGCAATCAGATGGTGCTTCATTCTCTTTCCATGTACAGTCGACCATTGACTTACAGACGGCTCCACGTAAAGACTTTTCAAGTTACAGACTTCTCTGCTGCAAAGTTTAGGTTCAACTTGCAGCTGGAGAATCAACCTACAGATCAGGAAAAAAAAAAACCCAAAATGGAACAAAAATGGCCAGTTACGGATTAATCGATTTTCAATGCATTGTAGGTCAATGGAGCCTCAACCTACAGACGTTTCAACCTGCAGCCACTGCTTCAATATGGATTAATTCTGTAAATCGAGGGTCCACTGTACAAAATCTGGATCTTCTGGCAGTCAGGAATGCCAAGTCTCAGGAGGTGGCTTGAAGTCTCGGGAAATTGCTAAGGCTTCTCCAGGTCCTAATACAAGGAGATGAATCTAATCATCAGCAGACCTGGAAGAGTGAGGAAGTTTCATTTTATTGTATACAGTGATTTTATAGCATAGGTGCACATTTCGAGGGTCCACTGTACAAAATCTGGATCTTCTGGCAGTCAGGAATGCCAAGTCTCAGGAGGTGGCTTGAAGTCTCGGGAAATTGCTAAGGCTTCTCCAGGTCCTAATACAAGGAGATGAATCTAATCATCAGCAGACCTGGAAGAGTGAGGAAGTTTCATTTTATTGTATACAGTGATTTTATAGCATAGGTGCACATTTCTTCCCCGCTATTACGAGCGCATGCACCAAGGTAGTGATAGGTGCACATTTATTCCCCGCTATAAACTGGCACTGATACAAGGACATATGTGTTCCTCAAATGATTTGTTTGTGTTGCATTACAGCAAATACAAATCACCTCCCTTTCTCTCTTTGGCCCAAATCCTGTTGCTTAGTACAGTGAATCACACTAAAGTAGGCCCATTGAATGAATATGAATTTGGTAAGTCAGCTCCTCCATACGTTCAAGTGATTCAAATGGGCCTACTACTAGTTGTGGCCTACTAGGCTAAAGTAATTTGCAACTTACTTGAACCAGTTGAATTTGCAGAGGAGTTACCTCACCAAACCTCCACTGATTCAGTGGGCCTATTCTAGTTGCAACTTGCTACACTAAACATTAGGATTTGGGCTATTATTTTGCAATAGTTGCACAAAGGGCCACTTCACTGCACAGGTTTTGGTCCTGAGCTCCCAGCGAGTGAGAAGTCCCGGATCTGGCAAAACTGCTGGTAGCTGAATCTGATTTTAGTACTGGTGACAAGACAGCCTGATCTGCTTACATCTGAGGGCAGCAGGGAAATTTAAGGGATATTGAGTAGATCATGTGGCATGTCTCTATCCTGCCCTTCTCAGCAACTGCTGCTTGACCTCGTTCTCCACTCTGCCTAATGGCAGGGCTGATCTGGTGCCAACCCTGCTTCAGGAGGAGCTGAGCCAAAATTTCTCAGAAGATGTTTTTCTAAAAAAAATTTCTAATAGCTACAGCAAGCACTAATGATATGCCCTCAATTCTACAAAATCTTCTGGGGTTGCATTGTTCACAAATCTGAGCAATGGTACTCATGTCTTAGTGGTGTTCAGGGAGGATTGTTGTAACAAGCAGTACATCAAGGTATCTTCAAGAAGCATCAAGAACATTAGGTTAATAAAGAACCTTACAGCCAAACGTTTACCTGGAATGTTCAATTATATTACCATAGATTATTCCAACTGCAGGAGCTGACATTCTCCTTGTGGACTTCGTTCAAAGTTCTGATAATTAAATAGATAGGCTGGGAAGATCTGTGCTTAAGAACAACGCCTTTTGCCTGAATCTACTCAGGGGCTCCATGTGATGCCTCTTAGTTTTCTTCCCACATTTCCCATTTGCTTGGTGCGAACAACAACAAGGGCTTTTCTTTTCAACTGTGTTGCCAAATACATTTGGGTATCAGAGCTTGGCCACATTACTTTGTGGGTTACAGCTCCTGGAACCCACTAGCTAGTAATGTCTCCAAGTTCTGTTGTGACTCAAAAATACCTGTTTTCTTTTTCATGGTGTGCATTTTGGCACAATCTATCTTTTTACTAAAATCTGTTATTCCAAGACTTGGCTTTAGCCCTCTGGATGGTTCCTTCCTTTGTGGCTATTTTAAATTTTGAAATGGTAATCCAGTGTGAGTATAAAATGTGGAGTATAAATGTTTAAATTTATAGATGAGTAGATTAGGGGGCTGGTTCTTGGTGGCTGCAGGTTGGCTTCTTCTGTCTCCAAGTCCTTGCGCTCCATATAAGCAGAATTTGACACTCTGTGGCTGTCCTAAGCAACATTTCAGATACACTTTGGACAACCATCAATTTTGAAGTTGATGAACGTGATCGGGTCCTCACAATGAATCATCAATAAAGATAAAATCCAACGATGAGTTTCAGCTAGAGTTGGACTCACTAACTCAATGAGAAATACACGAGAGCGCTTTTACAAATTTTCTTCATTCAGTATGTCTGCTGTAGTTGGAATCAATGACTGGATTTTTTTTCATATTTGATTGCATTTAAATAAACATGCATATGACCAAAATTTGGGTAGGCAGATGCTGTTTTTTGGAGTACTGAATGATTTTTTAAAAACATATTGGAGTACTTTACAGTTTAATAAACAGAAGCTTCTACACATTATGAAACATATAAATAATCTTTATTTTGTTTCATTTTCCTTTTATTTATTTTCCTTTTATATTAATTTTAGCCTTTGTATCCCTTTGGATTATTGAATTATTGAAATAGATGGATGTTTTTAATTACTGAGCTATTGAAACATGTGGACTGAACACTATTTAATTAAAAATAAAAATAATTAATTTAAAATGAATATAAAATATGCCTCATAGCTTAATTTAAAAAATAAACAACTAATTAGGCATGCAATCTGTGCCAATTTATCTGGGAGTAAGCCCCACTGAAATCAAATAAAAATGGATAGGATGATGTGTACAGCATTTAAATAGTTGTTTTGTTTGGAAGGTTTTAAAAAAACAAAGACATCTTTTTATTAAGCATTTGGGGCCATTGTTGATTTTCCTACATCATGATTAGCTCAGGTGTAGAGCAATTTCTGCGAATAAATAAATAAATAAATAAATACATCATGATTAGCTCAGGAGTAGAGCAATTTCTGCATTATATGTAATTTTGGATTCGATTCCATCTCATCCTAAGGCTTTCTTATTGGCTGTTGTAAGACCTGAATTGATTTTATGTACTATTTTGTTTTTGCTGGATCATTTCATTCATTCCTCTGATGGTTCAGCCCTGTTGAGCCAGCTGAAAGGAATGTTAGTGGACTCCATTTCAGGGTAAACATTCCACTTGCCCTCCAATCCCACCACTTAATTATCTTGTTAACTTCGAGCAATAGATATTTCTTTGTAAAGTCGTGCTTCTTAGTACACATAACAACAGATAAAATGTGACTCAAAGCTATGCCATTTCACTTTGTTTCCTATTTTCTGTCTACGTAGGGTGAATGTATGGGACAACACAATCCTGGGTAAAAGTTACAAAGAGAATAAAACAGAGAAAAGAAGAAAATGCAGAATTTTCAATAAAACTGCTGGGATAAAGCCAAATGGTAAGTACAGTAATTTGTCCTGAAACATCTGGACTAGGGATGGGGATATTCGTACCCAAATACGAATATTCCCATGCAGCTGGACTTAATGAGGGGCCAGACCCTGCGGCAGGCCCATCCACTCATGTGTCTGGTGGGGCGGGGGAGACTCTCTCATCCGTCCAATCACTCCTGGAGCTCCACTCTGTTCCTGCTCAGCTAGCAACTCAGCAGCCATTCAGGGAGACTCTTTCTCGCTCCTACTGCCTGAAGTGGCCAGGTGAGCAGGAAGAGAGCAGAGCTCTGGGAGCAGTTGGAAGGATGAGTGAGGCTGCTGCCACCGCTGGACGCATGAGTCGATGGGCCGCCGCAGGGGCTACCCCCTCATTAAGTCCAGCTGCATGGGGATATTCATATTCATATACAATACAAATACCCCCCATCTCTAATTTGGATTTTATTGCTCTGATCCAGAGTTCTGCATGTGTTCTGAGACAGACACGGAGTTCTTGAGGGTGCTGTTGTCCTCCTTCATTTCTGTGAATGTAGTCCAAATGTGGCCTTAAAGGGATGTGTGCACAAATCCATCAGCAGTATTGGGGAAGCTATGCTGGGTTGGGAGCCAGGTTGGGATACAAGGAAGCCTCTGTGTATAATGCACTTTTAATTGATTTCTTCTTGAAGAAGCTCTTTGCACCTTTCGCAGTGCCATTCTTGGTAGTCCTGTTAAATTTTGATAGATGACTTTGGAAGGAAATGCAGAGAATAGGCTGGATGGAAAGAGCTGAAATACCCCACATTTCTATGTTATAAGTTTGCGGGGGACATATTTTCTAGATTCATATTTTAATATGCACACAATGTACCTTTATCGTTTCTGGCCAAAGGCTTTTACAAAGGCATATTTACCTAAAACATTTTAATACGAATTGGCCAATGAAGGTTGGAGACATCACTGTTTCAAGGATGGCGAATCCATTCTGGCTTTTTGTCAGACCTTTAAAGGAACTTTCCAAGGAGCAAAACATATGAGAAGGGGAATACTATTCAGTACTTTGGATAGCTCCTGTGAAGTATGGACTAGAAAGGTTCAGACTTGTGTTATTTTCAACTATAACTCCAGAATTCCCCAGTAGCCATGCTCAAATCTGTACAGCTGCAGTTTGAACTCAAACCCAGAGCAGATTCACAGTTGCGCAATAAGGGAATCACCAGCTTCTGCTGGAATTGACCTAACTGGCACTTCAGTTGGATAAACTGAAAGGGCATGGGCACAAAATGCATATAGATTGAAAATATGCACGAAGATACTAGGGATGTAAAGAATATTCTCAAAATCGTTTGTCTTCATTTGCAAGGAGTGACACAGAGAGCTTTTCTTTAAAGTCTCCTTTGTGCAGCGCCCTTTCCCTTTGGAGAGCAACCCATGTACATGCAACCAGCACAGAAGGATGGACTGTAAGAAAAATAACTCCATCAAGGCATTAGGCCACCAAATCTCTCTTAAACTAAGCAGCATCCTTTCCAGCTTTGCAAATTGCTCAGCTTTGTGCAAAAAGCATCCCTACAATGGTGAAGATGAGTCAAAATCGCCCGTAAATCTCAGCAGGTGCTTGCCGGCAAGGAGAAGAACATAGCAATTTATTCTCAAAGGCTTTCACGGCTGGGATCCGGTGGTGGTTGTAAGTTTTCCGGGCTATCTGGCTGTGTTCTGGAGGTTTCCCTTCCTAAAGTTTTGCCAGTCTCTGTGGCTGGCATCTTCAGAGGATGGTTCTAAAGGATGAGTTCTAACTCTTGTCCTTTGAAGATGCCAGCCACAGAGACTGGCAAAATGTTGGGAAGAAAAACCTTCAGAACATGGCCAACCAGTCCGAAAAACCTGCAACAACCAACTCAGCAATTCCTCATCCTTGCTGGTGAGGGTGAGCAAAGGACAATTTACATCCCTTGGAAATATGTATCATTTTTATTCAGACTTTTTAAAAAAACTGCAGAGTGATGCAGAAATGGGATGAAATGCATTTGTGATTGAAAAGATAAGAATCTTGTGGCAAGCAAAGCAAGTATCTCTCCCCCCACCCATGTGGTAGACCTTCTTGACTCTTTTAGCCTCAGTCTAGGAAGATAATTTTCTTGCTAGGAAACCTGAATGGAAAAGACAAGAAAATTGCAGCACCTTAAAGTGTCATAATATTTCCGTGGCAGCTTTTCTGGATCAAGTCCACAGATGTCTGAGGAAGTGGACTTGATCCATGGAAGCTCACAACATTTTTGCCTCTTGTTTTGTTTTGTTTTTAGTCTGATATGCTTGCACAGACTAGCACAGAAAATTCATTGAAACCTATTGAAAACTGTCTATGAAAAGAGTAATATTTATCTTCTCTGAGTCACAGATTTTTCTAGATTGCTTGAGGAACTCCACCTTTAATTTAAAACCAAGGTGGTTTTTTTAATGCTCAGGGACTGTAAGCTTTCTTTGCCCGAGCTGAAATTTAAAAACGGTCTGTCGCCCAGAATATATATCTATGTTGATCCAGCTCCTTCAATTTTTCTTAGCCGCACAAGTGGCACGGTGTGATTAGACAGGAAAAAATTAGCTCTGCTTCAGCTCCAATTGTGCTGATAGGTGAAATGATTTTCTGCATTTGAAATAATCCTCCGGTTTGAAAAGTTGTATTTAGGTCATTAAAGATTGAAGCCCTGAAGGAGACGACAGATACGAACCAACTCCTCTCTCTTGTGCACCCTGACAAATACTTTGGGGAAAAGTCAGCAGAGAAGTGTTCTGAAGATTTAACGCTGCCTACCCTGTCGGCTAGTAAGTAGACGTTCATTACATTCTCATTACTCTAGGTCTTGCTTCCCACATGGTTTAAAATTCAGACCACAAAGGCTTTTAAATTATATTTGGATTCTATGTGAATGGAGAAGGATCCTGTGAGTGGCGGGAGCATGGGCAGCAGGGAGCAGTAGTGGGGCCAGGACCTTCAAGGCCGGTTCTGTGCTTCCTTTCCCTCATGGAATGGTGGATACATGAGAACTGAGCTAGAGAATGAGAAAGCGACATTGTGGACTGCCGGTCCTGTCCAGAAAGGTCAAAGGAATTAGAAATGTTTCCCTCAGAGGACACTGAAGTTAGGGAAGCCTGGCCCAGGACATTTGCTGCCTGAGGTGAAGCAACTGAGGTGCCCACAGGAAGCAGAAAAACCTACAAAGACCTCCACATTTATTAGAAGGAAGGCAGGCAGGGAGGCAGGCAAATCAAAAAACTAAAAAGTTGTTCCTCTTTTGTGACAGACAAAATCTGGTATTTGGGCCAGCCATCTCACTCTGCCCTTATGGAAGACCTGCTAAGTAGGGTATGTGATAGACATCTTCAAAGATTTGAAGAGTATAAAACAGGACAAAAAGAGGCGTATAGAAGAGTAAAGATATTTTTCTTCAATATCAAAGAGGGAAAGACTTGGCCTATTGGGCATAAGTAAAGGAGAGTTGAATGTTGGGAAAAAATGTTTTAGTGGTAACTAAAAAGATTAACAACTCATATATTTTAATGTGAGCTTTCATGGACAACTCCACTTTCTCAGACTCCTTTAAGGTGCCACAACATTTTTGTCTTCTTTATTTTTCTGTGGTTTTTTGCTGATAGACTGGTGCAAAATAACACGACTACCTATTCTAAAACTGCAACTTGGGAGGGGCTGGAGAGTTATCTGTGATGTGGCTCCAGCTGAGACCTTCAAAAAGTTACTCATCTGGACTATAACTCCCAGATTCTTGCAACAAGCATGGGCTGTGGCTGGATGGATTCTGGACTAAAGATGGACATGAACTGCTGGTTAGGTGGTTTGTGCTGGTTCATCCTTCAGATGAACAGGTGTTGGGTGGTTTCCAGCCCCGTGTCATGAGTGCAGCTGAAGACCTGGAACCAGAAGGGTTAACTGAGGCTGAGGAGAATGCTGAGCAATCAGAAACATCTGAATCGCCTCCAGATTCTCCTTCCCCAGCAGACAAGCTTCGGTCCAGGCTTCAGGGAAGACTTATGGCAAAAGGGTCAGAGGATCGCTCAAAGGCGGTCCACAGAAACATTCATTCAACTAGCCCTGAGTATTGACAGGATGGAAAGGTTTCCAGCAGCTCAAGGGGCTGTTTTACTATAAAAACAGCTCCTAGTCAGCTAGGATTTTGTGAAGCAACAAGTCAAAACCTCTGACTTGCATCCATGCTCCTACAACCTTGAACCGTGTTTCCTGAACTCCTGACTCTGGACTCTGAACTTGGACTATGTTGTGTATTTGACTCTGGACTCTGACCTTGGACTACGTTGTGTGTTTGGCTTTGGACTCTGACCTAGGACTACGTTCTGTGAGTTGGTTTGGTAAATGCTTATTGGCTTTGCATTCTTGGTATTCCTGACCTTGGACTGGTTTATCAGACCTTGGCTGTTGTAACCCCCGGGAACGTGACACCCCGCCTCCTTCAGCGGGTACCCACAGAGAGGCAGAACCCCAGCTACTCTGCCCCACCTCTCCCAGGTTCTGCCTCTGAATGGGTGCCTGCCAGAAGAGGCGGGGCTAGAAACCACTGAACACCAGTTTGTCCAAAGCAGTGGTTCTTAACCTTGGGTTACTCAGGTGTTTTTGGACTGCAACTCCCAGAAGCCTTCACCACCAGCTGTGCTGGCTGCGGTTTCTGGGAATTGCAGCTGAAAAACACCTGAGTAACCCAAGATTAAGAACCACTGGTCCAAAGGATGAATCAGCATAAATCACCTAACTGGTAGTTCATGCCCATCTCTACTCTGGATTTGGAGTCTAACACATTCAGTTGTCAAATCTCTGATCTACCTCGGGGGGGGGGCATCTAGTCCAACTCCATTTGGGGGGGCATCCCAATTTTTTTTGTGACTTTAGACCCACTAGGATCCTTCTGATAGTTTTTAGGTGCTACTTTATGCGCTTTGTCCATTGTTTGCATGCTTGTAATTCTACTGGCACTTGGTACTATATGCCATTGCTTTCACTACTGTTGAAGTTCCTTGAAGCAGAAGATTTAAGCTCAATAAATAAGTAACAAGGTTGTTGCTGTCTCTTCAACTGAGTAGTCCTGGCAGGCCTAATTCTGGCGACACCACTGGAACATCATGGTTTACTGTGTCTTCCACCTTTCTTTAATCCACTGTCTTGTGTCAGGGCCCTGGGGAAAGACCAAATCATATGTCACTGCAGCCTTTTCTTCTTAGAAGTGGCGGCATTCTCCCTTTGCCCAAATATGTACTCAATTTTTTTCCACTTCGAGGGAAATGTCTCATCTGATGCCTGGATAACAAGAGGGCTGGTGGTGATGACAGGCTGCAGCACACCGACAGAGGATGTGTAGTAATGAATGCATCATCTGTGATTTGCCATCCATGTGAAATATGCTCGTCATCTGGGGATTTTGTTGCTTCTTCTTAAACTGGGACAAACTCCATCTGTAAGATGCATGCACCAGGTTCTGAGGAGAATGAACAGAAGAGGAAGAAATTGCTGCTCCAAAAATCAGAACAAATCCACCTTCTAGTTATGCGTTTAGCATTGTCTTGAATTGGCCCTATATCTTTTATTTAAGAAATGGATCTTCTGGCTCTGGTTCTCTGCCTCCATTTTATAGGTAAGGCCCTACAGAGAAGCAACAGGAGCCTAAGTAGGCAAGGGGGCAATCTTTGCTAGGCTTAAGCCAGACAGAGCCCATAGGTAGAGCCAGCCCTCCCATTAGACAATGAAAGGCATTCTCCTCAATCAGCAACATGATGGGATGATGTTGAATTGTGCCTTATCAGTAGACCATCTGACACCACTCAGGAAAGCCTGACTGGCTGCTTTCTGATAGCAACAAATGTCATAGTTGGACCTGGCCAGGCATTGGTGTGCAATGCCACAGCAGAGGAACAGTTAGCACACAGCTCTCCAGAACTTGCTATGTGCCAGATGTCTTGCTCAGTGTGTCATCAGGGCATGACATTGTGAGTGGGTTGGCCATGAAAGTGGAGCAAGAGGGTTAGGAGTTTGATTCCCCACTGAGCCTATTTGACAGGGGCTGGAAGGGATCTATAAGGTCCCTTCCAGCTCTGCAGTTCTAAGATTGTGATGATGATGCAGCTCCCAGTAGTCTTCACCACCAGCTGTGCTGACCATTGTTTCTAGAAACTGCAGTCCAAGAACACTTGGGTTACACATGGATGGGAACCACTGCTCTAAGGCCATAACTCCATACCCACCAGCTCAAGAGTATACAAGGGTCTGTACTGAACAGATATGGGTAGAACTTCATTGTAAATACAGTAAGCTACTTCAAATGATCTAAATAAGTCAGATCTTTATGCTGCATAAGATGATGAAATGGCAAAACAAAATGAGGTGAATCATCCTAGCATAATCTGAATTCTGCACAGGCAAAGTAAGTCTGTTCTTAATGCTTTTAACAACAGGCTGTAACAGTATGAAAAAACTGAAGATAGTTAATTTCATGAACTAAATACAAAAATGGCTCCAGAATTAATGAACAATTAGAATTAACATTCATTTGGGAAACATTTCAAGATTGAATCACATTAGATTTTATAAACTAGGATTTCCTTTTAATACAAAAAAGGCAAATATATGCATACATTTCTTGTTCTTGAAATTAAGCATATGTTCTTTCTTTCTTTCTTGAATCTTGATCAAAGACATATACTGGTTCATTTTAATGGGCAGCAGGCCATTCTCTAACTTTGTACAGAATGTTCATGCTGACTCACATTTCACAAATGCAAATATAGAGGCATCCCTGTGCATGTGTGGGTTGGGCTGGAGTCAACTCTAGTTCCTGTTTTCTATCTGTAGCACACTCAAATGCATGCAGTTAGGTGGCTCCAGATGATAGCTATTGTAGGGCAAGTAACACAACTGCATGGCAAAACTGTTACATAAAGTACTCTTTTATATATGCTTATGGAGAGGTCATTGGGCTCATTTTAGGTAACACAGAGGCCCAATATTAGGCCCATCTTTCTCTTCCTCTGCTTGCCATGAGTTTTATGAAATACCAAGGGAGGATAAATTTCAACAACTACAAAACCATGTTTTTGTTTTCTTCTTCCACCCTTGCTTGTTTTATAAATTTTCAAATAGACTTTCTTTTCCCTGTTAAAATCCTAACAAGAATATGCCAAGAAATATGGAAAACAAAACACTGGGCCAGAGACTGGAAATGTTCAATATCTATTCCAGTCCCCAAGAAAGGAAGATGCCAAGGAGTGCAATAACTATTGGACTGTTGTTCTAATTTACTATGCAATCAAAGTGATGTTCAAGGTGTTGCAACACATGTGTTATGTGGAGCAAGAAGTATCTGATATTCAAGCTGGATTTCAAAAAGGAAGAGATCATATTGCAAATATTTGTTGGCTACTGGAGAACACCAAAGAATTACAGAAGAAAAGCAGTCTATGTTTTGTAGAGTACAGCAAAGGCTTTGACTGTGTGGATCATGATAAACCGTGGGTTGTTCAGAAAGAAATGGGTGTGCCTCAACACTTGATTGTCCTGATTCATAACTTGTGGACAAGAAGGAACTGAGAGGACAGAATATGGAGACACAAAATGGTTTCCTGTAGGCAAAAGTGTCAGACAGAGCTGCATTTTATCTCCTTGTCTGTTCAATCTATATGCAGCACATATCATAAGCTGGACTAAATTCAGACAGATGAAGAGTGAAAATTGGTGGAAGAAACATCAATAATATATGATATGTGGATTACACCATTTTACTGGCAAAAAGCAGCAATGACTTGAA